TGATATGTAGCTCAAGAGTGGAGTTCAATACACATGTTGATGAAGAATACATGGATGCACCAAGGTCATTTGGAATCTCCAAGGAGCACAAGAACGGAAGAGCAGGAGCGCGGAACTGCCTCTTACCTCTCCCCCGCCTCCACGAAGGCAAATAAAAGAGAGCCAACAGGCAGCCTACCCCTCCCGGACTGTGGTCCCATCGATCTTATTATTAGAGAGGCTCTCACCAGATCTTCTATACACTCACAAGCGCCAGCACACCTCTTGACCTGTACAAAAGAATGGAGGAGCACATGAGAGCGCCATCAACCATAGTTGCACAACGCCATGAATCTGGCAGGAACGCGACGGCACGGGAACCGCCATCACTGAAGATACTTCCTTCGCCTCATTGCCCTCAATACAAACTTGAGGGAAAATAAAAATGATCGGAGTAGTTATCGAATTTGGATCCAAGCGCCTTATTATTCATTTGGGAGAAGCAAAGAAACAAGAAACCTACCACTACTCACCAAAGATCCCCCCTTCCACCACCATTTTGGTCGGCAACACCGAAGAGGGGAAGGAGAGCAGCCTGAATCTACTGCACAAGGGCCGACCTCAGTCCAAGTTAATCTAGGTGGAAGGGGGAGTGGAAGAGAGGGGTGGGGATATCTGAACGACCAATGCTACACAGACGAATGATATGGTACAGGATTTACAGAGTGTCTTACGTAGGATTCTGAGGTTGGAGAATTAGGTGAAGGGCCCCAACCAGTTCAATTCGGGTGGAGGGGGGTAGTAAGGAATGTCTCATAACAATAGTTTTGCTACTTCTCAAGTACCTGAATTCTTTTGTTGCGTAAGTCAGTTTTTCCTTCATCCCAAGTGCACGAGATGTGCACGCCAAACCTTGCCGAAGAAGAAGAAGCCCCACTATCTATCTTGGGGGGAGGGGGAGTCATAGCCTCATTATCGATCTTAGGGGGGCAGCCACATCCCATTATGTATTTTAAGGGTAGGGGTCCAGCGGATCATCGGAGTTGTTCACTAGTGTGACTGGGCTTAGAGGGATGGCCGGGACAGTGGCCAGCACAACGGTGGGAGGGATGGCGGGGCGGAGATAGCCACCGGCTAGCCGGGGAGTGAGGGGGAGGGGAAGGAGGCAGGAGGTTAGTCATGGGTTGGCCGGCGGCTGCGTGAGGAAGAAGAAGGTGCAGGTTAATGATAAACAATGCTTGATCTATTCTTAGCTCTTGGATGAAGATCTAATGGACTTTGATGAAAGTGAAGTGACAGATGATACTTTTTTTCAGGTACCTTTTTTTTGTTAGGGATGTTTTTTCAGGTACCTGATAAGTGCCGGGGAGAGTACGTACTCCCGTTGTCTCGCCATGTTACACGATACATGCACGGGTAGCATGCACGCACAAGACTACGGTAGGGTCGTCCCCTAGTTGTTGTTTTTTTGTCCAAAACGAAAGGTGCATGCTCTCTGATTGATCGATCCATCTACTAGTTGGTCGGGGGTTGGGACCTGGCAAAGCTAGCTCGCTCCTGCCTCGCGACGTACGTATATGTTTGGTATATACTCTGGCCAACATATATACCCGATTGAGCGTGACAGGGATGCACAATCTTCTAGCACGTACGTGCTAGATTTTGTTGATATTTTGTGGGCGGGTGCTCAGCTAGCTAGCTGTGAGCGCATATATAATGGAGATATTTTGTTGATTTTGTTGATATGTTGCATCGATTTGAACACGTGGGGTGGCACGCATCAACCGACCTCCATGCAACGAATAACAGAGATATGAAAGGCCAGTGCCTCCAAGAGCCAACATGTGAAGATGGTCCGCTGAGGATAAGATGATAGAATCTTCCTCCATTGTTGCTCTTTTTTTTCTTCTTCCTCTACACCATTACTGCATGTATATTCCATAGAATGGGATGCTCTGTCCAAGATTTTCCAACCTCCAAAATATAAAAAGACCACAATGCTAGGGATCTGCCATAGCCACAAATATCACAGACCGATCCCACAACAACAATAACAACAACAACAACAACAACAACATCAACAACAAAACATCACACATTGATGACCACTTTTGCCAAAGATATGGGATAAGTTTCACCTAAAAACACACTCAGATTATGAGTTATCCATGTTGCCCACGCCAGCACATTGCAGCAGCCCTTGCCACATGCAAATCCGAGAGTTAATCGTGTGTTCGATCTCCTCAGACGAATTACAGCGTCAAATAAAAAGTGTGTAACACGTATGCATGCTCGATCTGCTAGTAACGTGGTGCTACCATTTATTGATACTTTGCCACAGCTAGCATGCAGTGACCGCATGAACGTGATGTTGTAGCTGGCTAGGATCTTCTTCAATCTACATAGATTTTCAAACATCGAAAATGGATATTGATCTATTCATCTTCAATAATAGTAGTACAATGTACACTAGAAAAAAATAAAAATTACATCCCATCCGCAGACCACGTAGTGACGACTACAAGCTCTGAGGCGAGCCGAAGGCGTGCTGCTGTCATCGCCCCTCCCTCGCCGGAGCCGGGCAAACATTATTGTAGTAGATAGCCGGGAAGTTGTCATGCTAAGGCCACATAGAACTAACGCACCAGAACAGCAACCGCCACCGATGAAGAGTGTAAATCTGAAGTATCCAACCTCAAGACACAAGAACATAGATGAACGATGAACATATCCGAGAAAATCCAGCAAAGACAGATCCGCCGGAGACACACCTCCACACGCCCACCGACGATGCTAGACGTATCAACGGAACAGGGAGTAGGTGGGGAGACTTTATTCCATCTTCAGGGAGCCGCCGCTATCTCACCTTCCTAAGCAGGACAAAAACCCTAACAAAACTCGAAAAAAGGATCTAAAAATGGAGCCCTCCCACCGGCAAGGGTCGGGATCCACCCCGCCCCCTTGGCCCTAAGGCCACCGGTGACAGGGTGGACCAGCGACGACACCGACGGGAGGCACAGGAACCCTAGATTTTTGGGAGGTGGCGACTAGCTAGGTCGTCTCATCTGGCCTCTGATGGCTGCAACTGCAACATCGCCCCTTGGATTGACAGAAAATGGATATGCTCTGCTCCGATACCCATTGGTTTGTGAAGTGAAAGATGGCATTTCTCAGTTTTTTAACAGGCAGAAGGGACTTCGAGGATCCCAAATCTGGTGTTAGATTAGCAAAAGTGTTACAGCTCTACACAAAGGACCCTGAATTTTTTTTGAAAATTACACATTGGTCCTCCATTCTACAATTAGAAGCCCTCAAGAAAAAGGAAAAACACAATTGGGTTTCGATCACCATGGCGACCTCACCGGAGATGCAAAAGCCACCATCTCCGGAAGCAACATTGCTAGCTCTGGGCAACAAGAATACGGCCTCCACACTAGAGGTTGAAGAAGGGGGCATCAAAAAAAGCGAGCAAAGCAAGGAACAGCTGGGGAACAACCCTAGCCGCCTAAATCGCACGCTCTAAACATTTCCATGGTTGATATGCGGCTCCAGCGCGAAGTTTGATGCAAAGGTTGATGAAGAATACACTGATGCACCGAGGCCAATGGGAATCCCCACGGATCCAAAGCTCGGAAGAGCGGGAGCGCAGATTTACAGCTTTTCCTGCTGCGCCTCCACGAAGGTAAATAAGAGAGAGCCAACAGGGAGCTTGCTCCTCCATACACCGCTACCATCCACTTCAGAGAATATAAAGTAGAGAAGAAAGACACCGAGCCGATGCCGATGGTAGAGCCAGCATCCGAAGCTATACAACGCCATGATCTGGCAGGTATGCGACGGCATGGGAGCCGCCATCACTCAAGGTACTTCCTTCGCCTCGTAGACCTTAACAGGAACTCGAGGGTAAAGAAAAGGACTGGAGTAGTCGTCGAATCTGGATCCAAACGCCTCATTATTTGTCAGGAGAAGCAAAGAAAAAGAAACCTACCACTACGCACGAACAAGCCCCCCTTCCACCCCCATTCCGGTTGTCAACATAGGTGGAGAATAGGGGAAGGAGGGTGTTCTGAATCTACGGCACAAGGGCCGACCTCAGTCCATGTCAATCTAGGTGGAAGGGGAAGTGGAAGAGAGGGGTGGGGGTTATCCGAATGAGCAATCCTACACATATGAATGATATGGTACATGATTAACGAGGTGGCTTGTGTGGGATTTTATGGTTGCAGAAATTAGAGGAAGGGCCCCACCCGGAATGGGGGGGGGGGTATTAAGGAATGTCCGGTGATAACGGTTTTTCTATTTCTAAGGTACCGTTTTTGTTGCGTTGGTCACTTTTTCCTTCTCCGTTCCTTCTTCCCGAGTGCATAAGATGTGGAGGCCGGACCCCATTATCTATTTTAGGGCGCAAGCCACAACCCCATTATCTATCTTAGGGTGAAGCCACAACCCCATTATTTATCTTAGGGGTGGGGGTGCAGGAGGTCATCAGAGTTGTTCACTGGTGTGACAGGGATTATAGGGATGGCTGGGCCGGTGGTCAGCACGGCAGTGCGGGGAGGGTGGGGCGGTGAGGCGGAGGCAGGCGGTTAGGCTAGGGTTAGCCGGTGGCTGCGTGAGAGGAAGAAGGTGGAGGTTAAAGATGAATAGTGGCCGATCTATTTTGAGCCGTTGGATGAAGATCGAATGGCTTTTGATGAAAGTGAGTGATGATACATGTTTTTTCAGATACCTGAAAAATAAACGATCCACCATAATAATTTTGTAGATTGACTGTAGGTGTAACATTTTTTGTATCTTTTTTCTTTATGGTAGCATTTTTTTTATTTTTTATTTTGCAAAAAGGGTAGCATCTTCTTATCTCAACGACGGCATTGTTGGAAGGATCACTCGATCAAGAGCATTGCCATTTTCTTATAAATAGAGGCCCAACTGAGCAGAAAGGGTATGCAAATCTAGCTAGCCAAGAGCAACACATAGCCATAGTGCGACTGCATACGAGTACGTAGGTAGAGAAGGCGAGAATGAACAACACACTACCAGTAACGGCGCCCACCGCGCACGCGCCCATGCCGTCGCCGGCGCCGAAGCTTGGAGGTGCAAACATCGCCAACCGGTGGCGCGAGCTCCAGGGCTCGGACTCGTGGGTTGGGCTCCTGGACCCGCTGGACTACGACCTCCGACAATCCATCATATCTTACGGCGAGCTCGCATCGGCCGCCCACGACGTGTTCAACCTTGAGAAGCGGTCACCTCACGCCGGCTTCTGCTTGTACAGCCGCGACCTCCTTCTCGCCGCCTCCACCGTGACCCACCCTGAGTACTACAAGGTCACCAAGTTCCTCTACGCGACCTGCGGGGGATCAACGGCATCGAGGTTGGCCACATCCGTGCCAACGGTGACCAACGCGCTGTTCGTGCAACCGCTGGGAAAGGCCGAGGGGACTCCGACGTCCAACTGGATGGGTTACGTGGCGGTGGCGACGAACGAGGGAGTTACAGCACTGGGGAGGCGTGACATCGTCGTGGTGTGGCGCGGCACCGAGAACGAGTTGGAGTGGGAGGAAGACAAGCACTTCCTTCAGGTGTCTGCCGCGCCGGTGTTGGGCCGCTATGCTGACGAAGATTACAAGAACGCCAAGGTGCACCGTGGCTTCCTATCCGTGTACACGTCCAGTGACAACAACTCCATGTACAACAAGACCAGCGCCAGAGAGCAGGTGAGCCTTGCATACTTCATATATATATATTGTCCTGTTCAATCTTAGGCTTAATAACATACCAGCAGCCGGAATTGTTCAAGGTGAAATTTGTCTTCACTAAAGGTGTACGCACACATGCAGGTTCTCGAGGAGGTAGGGAGGCTAATGGAGGAGTACAAGGACGAGGTGACCAGCATCACCGTCACCGGCCATAGCCTTGGAGCGTCACTCGCCACCCTCACCGCCATCGACATGGTGGCCAACGACGTCAACGTGCCCCCTAACTCGAAGCAACCGCCGTGCCCCGTGACAGCGATACTGCTGGCGTGCCCGCGAGTCGGGAACCCCACGTTCAAGTCCGCCTTCGACTCATTCCACCTCCTGCGGGCACTCCACGTGGCGAACGCCAAAGACCTCGTGCCACAGAACCCTCCCTCTGTGTTGTTAATGTGGTACGTGGACTGCGCGACAGCAACGATCGTAATTGACACGGACCGCTCACCCTACGTGTTTCACAAAATATCGACCCACCACGTCCTCGAGTTGTACCTGCACGGTGTCGCAGGGGATCATGGCGACAAGGCGGACTTCAAACTAGTGGTTCCCCGCGACGTGGCGCTGGTGAACAAGACTATCGACCTGCTGACAGACGAATACCCAGTGCCGGGGAGCTGGTGGGTCATTAAAAACAAATGCATGGTCAAGGGCACCGATGGCCAGTGGAAACTCGATGACTTCGAAGAAGCATAGTTAAGTGGTTAAGACGGTATACAACATTGTTGCCTATGGATTCGGCATGTACTATATATGCTCTTGTGCTTGCTTGTGTGTTTGCATTTCAATCATGTTGTCGGGCGTGAATATTTGTAGCAGATGACGGCCTGGCCGATCATTCAGTTATTGTCCTTCTATTTCATGCCTCCTACAAATCTCGCTATATCATGTACTTATGCATTGCTTCATTGCTTTTAAAAATGTCATATCCCGTGTCTAAAAGAGCTTCTTCTTTTTTAATCTAAAGTGGCATGTTCTTGGTGTTAATGACATGTACTTAGCCGATTCATGGTGCGTGAATTGAGTTGGACGAACACAGGTAGTCCCGAGAAAAGAAAGAAAGCTGGTTCGGGATCAATCAACCAAAGCAAAAAGACTAAATAAGACAGCTCGGTTAAAATAGATTTTGATTTCTATATAACTTAATGACTTTGGTCGTCAAGAGTCATGGTCTCATGGAAGCCATACGTACTACATTGAGAGGTTGGGTAAATGATTAATAGAAATAGGGTGAACTAAAATCGCATATCATTGAGATTCAAAAAGCATCTCACTGGTGTTAGGATATTCTAGCCACATCATATGTCCATATAAAACAGTATTTCAGACCCGCAAAAAGAACAGTATTTCAGAAATCGCAATATGCAAAAAAAAAAAAAACTCACACCACCACAATACATGTCGTCTCTGTGGGTAAATTAATTGAAGCTGCCCTATATGAAAATTGTCCCAACCATCAGATGCCAGGTGTCAGGCTTCTCCTTGGCATCGAGTGAAATCCATTATATGCTAGAAATTGGCCGTGTTTGCTGAATCAATCAAAGGGCATGTACGCGTTTATTATCTAGGAGTATCTTAGAAGCTAACTTGCTCCTTAATTCGCTTAAAATAGATTTTTGATCTCCATATAACTTAATGACTTTGGTCGTCAGATTTTTGATCTCTATATAACTTAATGACACAGGTAGTCCCAAGAAATGAGTTTGATCCGATTCTTACTCCAGCAACTCACACCCCCTCCCTCCCCCTCCCCCCCCGGGCGACCCGGGCGGCAGCGCGAGCTCCACTCCCAGTCCTCCTCTCCCCCCCTGGGGCCGCCGCCAGGGCAAAGCCCCACAAGGTGACTGGCGGCGGGGCACCTTCTCCCCTTTTCCCTTGTGGCGGTGGGCGCGGGGCTCCCTGCCGGGGCAGAGGCGCCGGGCGGACGCGAGGCCCGGCAGCAGCATGCTGGCTGATGCGGCGCGACGGCAGTGGAGCGGCTGATCGAGGCCCGGCGGCTGCGTCCCGGAGCGGCGTCCGACATCCAGGTCTGGATCCGGGGGCTTCGGGTCTTATGGTGCTTTCCCTCGACGGTTGCCTGTTGCTGGCTGGCCGGCGGTGGGGAAGACACACACCTGCGGGCCACGGCTGGTCATGGCCGGCAGGGCGTGCGGGCCGAGGTGGCTAAGGCCGGAAGCTGCAGTCTCACCCCGGCAGTTGTTGCTGATGGTGGCTGTGGTGCTCTGCCTGGTCGGGGGTGCAAGGCCTCAGCTTGGCAGGGAGGCGATGCGGGCCTGTGGGGGCATCGACGGCGCTGCGCTGGGTCCTGCTGATGCCGCAAGGTGGTGGAGTTGCCCTTCTTGTCCTGCATGTGGACCGACAGTACGCGGTGCTGGGCGGGTGCTCTTAATGCTGGCCGCACGTAGAACGGGGGAGGTTTGGGGCCTGACACGGATCGGAGCCTGTGCTTCGGGTAGATGTGGTCGGGCGTGGCCTGGGATTTGCCCCCGCGGGTGGTGGTTGTTCTCTCCTCACGGGTAACGTGGTCAGTGGTGGTGGCGGGGACATCGTCGCTTTGGTAGGTGGCTCGTCACCGGTGAACAGAAAAAAGAAAAGAAAAAAATAATAATATGAAAACCGAAGAAAAAACCAGCCCGGTTGAAAAGGAAAACCAAAGTCTTCTTTTTTAGCGTTATATTTGACGCACTACAAAAGATGGAAAACAAAAAACTTAGAACATGATCAACAGAGGTGTTTGAGTAGGCGAGATGGCTCTGTCTAAGAGCACGTAGTTTCCTGACATGCTTGAAATGACCCCATTTTTTTCATGCCTTATCCTATATCCTATATACTTAAGAAGTTTACCTCCACTACTTCATTTATCTCAACATGCAGCATAGCCATGTCATCATCCAATCACATCCAGCCACGTCACACAGTCCCACTCAAGACCACGTCAGGTTTTTTTCCTTCGTTGGAAGTTTCCAAGCGGAACCCACAACAAATTGACCAGTGTTTCAAGTATTAAGTCAAATGCCACGTCGTCCCTTCCATTACCAGTGTCCGAACTGACAGAGGACCAGCCATCTCCGATCTATATCGTCTGTTCTCTCCTCTCCCCACAAAAGTGACTCTTCCTTGTCCAGCCTTTTCCTCAACTTTTAATCTCCTCCAGTGACGCCTGAGCTCCTCTTAATTGTAATCCACTCAGAAGCATCATGGACAAATTCACTACAAAGGAGGGAGACGGATCTCACATGTTGTTTGTCCACCCCATCACTGACCTAAAGTCCGCCAAGAACAACACAAAACGGAGATTCAATACAAACGAATCTCCCATCTGGCAAGCGGCTCCTGCACGGCGTTCTTCAAGATGCAGCACCGAGAGAAGGGCCGCATCAGGGTGCTTCTCTCCCTGCCGCCAACGCTTTTCTCCCCCACTTCTTTCACCAGATCGTGAGGAAAGATGGGGGGCCGTGTCCGAGAGGAGGGCCGCATCAGGAGGCTTCTCTCTCCTTCCCGACGCTTTTCTCCCCCACTTCTTGCACCAGATCGTGAGGAAAGATGAGCTCGATTTGTTGTTGGTTCGCACTATCACAACTAGGTCTCGCCTGGTCACGAGTAACTGAGTAAGTGCTTTTTTTGCAACTTTGCATCCTCCAGGGCTATTACCCATGGTCGCTGGGAACGCCTATTCTCTCACATCAGCAAGACCTCACTGATTCAGGAAGAAAAATTGGGCATAAGTTGCAACCTCCATTCTCAGGAAGGAGCATGATCTCGATTTTGTGGTGATTAGTGGCGGTCTCTGTTCTCTTTTTTCATAATTACATTTTAATTTCAGGCCTTAGTTTGGCTCCAACGGAAAGTCAAAAACAGTTATGTTTCAGTCTAAGGATGTTTATTTGTATTGCTTTTGTCATCAGGTGGAGCACATAAGATTATTTTATCAGAACTGTCCAGGAGCACCTGCAATGGAAAGTCTTCCGGAAGCTTGGGGATATCTTTGCTCGCTTCTTCTGTATGATTAATTTAGTGAACTACAGTGCACATCAATGTATGGAATACATATCAACAATCAATTATATAACCGTATTTTTTGGTTTTCTAATTGATAATTTTGTTACTTGCTAGATTCCTGTTTTGTATATGTATATTCAGGGCCATGATGTGTTCTCTTTCTTTTGCAATGCTATACGTAGAAGCATTTGTTTTCTCAGTTTTTTGTAGCAATTATTGTGATCAAACATCTCATATTTGTTCTCTTATATTTTGCTCAAAATCAATTGTGAACGGGCTCAAAATCATCTATGAATATGCTAATTCACAATTATCGTGTACCATGCAGGAAGGATCCAATCCAGTTGGTATATGCAACTAAATGAATTTTTGTTACATTTGAACACCCGAGAGAATCTTTTATGTTGGGTAAAAATATTTGTGCCTTTTTTTTTCAAATCAAGTATGAGGTTACTACCAACATGTTCTGTCGAGTACCAAAAACAATAGATTTATGGATTCGTATCGCAATTATTTTTACTATGTATGTAGATAAATTGGTAGTCCTCAATTGATATTCAATCATGACTTCATTTAACTTGCCCATTTATTTTGCAAGAAACATCATCAGACTAAGAAAATTCATTGTTTGTCGTTTGAAACTTTCATAGCTCCCTAAATTACATTAGGGCGGCCGCGAATAATGTTAGTATTTTCTTAGATTCGATTTAGATTGTTACCTAAGGAAGGAAATGCTGAAATAATTAGTAGATTTTTCTTTAATTATGCTGATGTCCTAAAACTTAATCTTTTACATCTAGCGACTATAATAACCCAATTGTTTCTGATTTTTCATACCATTCTATATATTCTTTTTTCTGCAAGATATTATTATAGATTTTCATTTTATGGTAATTTCTCACTCCATAAACCCCCCTTCCATACAGTGCTACAAATTCCCGCAGCAACGCGTGGGATGTTCTCTAGTATGACCAATTCAAGGCACTATGCCAAGTTGTTTTGGTTTTCAACAAGTTTTGCATTTTTCAGAGTTTTCTCGGTCAAAATCGCCTGATAAATGGGCAGACGTGTCACAACTTGCATACGGTGTCAGAAATCGTTCAAACCTGGCATTGATGACTATGATGGTCATG